ATAACGATTAAAGGTATGGCCGTTTTCTTCCTACTATGGCAGCAGGCCTACGTGGACTTTGTTTTATGACTTTTCAGCTCACGACAAACGCTGTACGTTTAACAGACAAAAATAACCAGCAGAAATATTATGGATAATATGCAGTGACAGACGTTTTTTCTTTTTTAAATGATGTTTCTTTCTAAGTAAAGGGCGAGCAGTGGTGACGGAGTTTAGAGGAAAATGCTACTTTAAATGTAACCTATATATTTAAATCCTCATATTTCTGAACATTGTTACAGAAATTATATTAATATTAAAGCTGTCTAACAGTATATCCGATGGCTGAACGGGCATTTGCCACATAACATGGCTAACCTTAACATAATATAGAAGACTGACAAAATATGCGAATGAATTTATTAAAATGTAGGTGTAATTCAAAGAGCCATTTTTTCCCTTGAAAATAGTATGAATGTTTAATTTGTATTTGAAATGCGTTTTGAAATAATATATTTCACAATGGATACATATAGAAATATCCATAGACGCATATTCAAAATGGATGTATAGGCTATACATTTGTAGAAGATAATGTGGAATTATATTCCGTTAGCCGAGCACTGCAATACGATTGTATGTTATATTTTTAATGTCTTAAATTGTCACCTATAGGTAAAATAGTCGGCCGGGATTAACATTTACTATGCCGAACAAAGGAAGACCCAGAATAAACCCACTTAACCAGACAGAAACTTTTCAAATAAAAAAATATAATAAACCAAACTAAAAGTTTTTAGACGCTGTGCACGTTTATCAGCCACTCATTTAACACTGAAAGCGTAAAATGTAGAAGAAGTTGCATTGTTTTTGGTTGTGTGTGGAGGCGTCAAAGCTGCAGGCCGCTGTCAGCCAGAGACATGAGACAGGGGGCTGATAACCTCTGGTGGTGACCAGAGGAAAATATCAGGAAGTGCTGCAACTGTCTCTAATTTAGGGATATTTTAGTTCAGCTACTCATTTTCATTGTCATGACTCATGTAGCTCAGTGTTGGTATTTTTTTCAGCGCGTTTTACAGTATTTATGAATATTGAGTTGACAATTATGATTTTGTTGCAGATGTTTTTTTTATTTTTTATAGCTGTTGAAGTTGCAGGTATGCTTTTTGTTGAAGGTACAACAAATACAGAAGTTACAGCTGAAGACATGCGAGTCCTAATCGTTTTCAGCTGCTTTGTTATGATAGTTTACAATACATTTTGCATTAATGCAATCAAGGCATTGTTTTGTAGTTGGATAAGTCTGCTGTTGGAATGCATCCAAATATTTGGAAATTACATGTCAGAACAGTATAAGACCAAAAGATAACCAGGACTTGGACGTTGTTCCACAGTAGTTTATTTTCCTTTGATGTTTTTGCATGTAAAGAAGAGGACATATTAAACACATTTGACAGCACTGTTGTTTGAAAAGTCACATTATGTTAAGCTTTTAAAATGTAATCCCATTTGACTGACGACGTGAGCCAAGTTTGGTTTGAAAATTAATAATTTATTGATCAAGTTCTGGTGCAGTTTAAATTAGATTTTCTTGATTACATATTAATCATATTCACACTCACTCTGTCACACACACACACAC